TAGTCAGATAAGCCTAGAAACAGGGAACTCTGCAGTACGATGAAACAACTAAGGAGAAGATATCGTTCAACAAATATGCAGAGAGAAGCTGAGGTGGATTGGACACATACTAAGAAGACCGTTGAGTGATACTGCGTACCAGACAGTCCCTCAAGTAGAATTCAAATAGAAATCGATGAATTGGGTATGTGGATCCAACGGTGGTGAAATGGAAGCTTATGGGGAATCGTGGACACAGTTAAAAAGGACTACAGACAACAGGGTTGTTTGGAGATGTGCTGCTGAAGACCTATGTTCAATTCGGAACCAAAGGCAGTAGTAACTAGTCATAATAACAAAAATATAAAGGTGACAAAAATGCGTAGAATAATCGATTGTGATATTTGTTGATATAAATATGTAAGCCGAACCGATGCAAAAGAAAATCCTACAAAACAGAATAATAAATCGATTTTGCGAAATATATACGTAATCAATTCAGCCTGCTACTTAAAAACTCTAATAATTATAGTAATAAAAACAACAATACTATTATTATTATTGTTGGTATTATTGATTCGGAGATTAGCGCTCCAGGAGTAATCAACACTTGTCTGCCTTAAACATATCAATAAAATATTGAGAAGATCAACAATAATTAGCTTTGAAAAATGTAGCTATATGTTGTATAATCAATTTGAGAAGACTACTTAACATATGTTAATTATGCGTGCGTTTGAGATCTTGCCTTATACCTTTTTACGATATTAATACCATTACTCATTAACCTTTTTTTTACTTTCCCCATTTCTGTTTAACTTCATCATAGAAGTATCCTTAAATGAACTTAACGACTTAGGAATCGACTTGTTATCAGGGAATAGTCTTATGGACTTAGAATATGCAGACGACATAGTCCTGTTAGGGGAGGATGCTGACAAAATGCAGAGTCTTCTGAACACCTTGAGCAGCAATCTTCGTATGTTTGGCATGCGATTCGGCCCTGTAAAATGTAAGATGCTGCTACAGGACTGGACTACGTCAACTCCTAGCTTAGTGATAGGGAGTGAAGTGATAGAACATGTTGACCACTTCACCTATTTGGGAAGTTGTATCAGCACCAACGGAATCACAGCACGGATCCAGAAAGCTCGGGCTGCTTTCGCTAACTTACACCGTCTCTGGCGTAGGCGTGACATCCGGCTGTCAACCAAGGGACGTGTGTACTGCTCAGCAGTTCGCTCCGTCCTTCTCTATGGCTCTGAAACATGGCCAATACGAGTTGAAGACATGAAAAGGTTGACTGTTTTTGATCACAGATGTCTACGATCTCTTTCTCACGTTAGGTGGTATAATAAGGTAAGTAATGTTGACGTCAGGCGTAGAGTGTTGGGCAAAGAGGGAAAATCAATCGATGAGGCTATGAAGTTACATAGATTGAGATGGCTAGGTCACGTGCTGCGCATGCCTAACCATCGTCTCCCCCGACGGACGGGTATTACTAGCTGATATAGGTGGCCAAACAAAAACATGGCATCAATCCATGAAATCCTTGACAGTTAAACTGAGTCAGGTAGGGAGATGCAGACTTCCGGGTTGGGGCCCGCCCTCGGGACTCTAAGAATCAATGGCTGGAGACAATAGGTGACATGGCTCAAAATCGTTGTCAATGGCTTACGCAGATGTATTCAGTCTCTGTAATCTTTCATATTCCTTCCTACCATTACTCATTCTGTTTCACTCTTATACTTGTCAAAACTCTATTGATTCTCTTCACTCATCTTCTTGTCTACCTTTGTGTGCTCTTTGGAACGTGGCAACTCGAACTGCTGCACTTCGGTGCCAAGTTCTATGTTGAATCCAGACAGGCAGACAGACACATTAACTTTTAAGGAACAGCTGTAATAAAATGATTGATTTCACTAAATATCAACATCTGAGAGGCAAAAAAAGATCACTGTAGAATATTTTCCCTTAAAGTGTGACTCTGTGGTGGGCATCTACAAACTAAAATAGGATTATAGGTTTCCAGGCCGTAGGTGTTACGAACTTCCTGGAATAAATTGAGCACCGAGTCAGATTGATTCATTATAAATTGTTTAAACTAATACCAGCGTGTTAAGAAAAACAAAACAAGATTTTTCTGAAAGTTTCGCTGTGTAAGCCACAGCTTCTTCATTGTTGTTACCTTGAATGTTGCAATGACTTAATGAGTCATGTTGACCGAAATGAAGGTTTCAGCAGGTCTTATATCATGTCAGAAATATCACTTGGATAACACGCCAAACTAAAAGCGATTGGGAGTGTGATGACGAAATCGTAAAATGCTAGTGCGTAGGGGTGTAACAGTAGTAAGGTGTTTCATCAATCGGATGGATAGCAAACCAGCTAGCTGTGTTGACTTTCCACTCTCAGAGTGAGGAGGTTACAGAAAGGGTCGGGCTCAACATTTTTACATCCTGACTTACTCAACTAAGTTCGTAAGTTCGTCAGTATGGGTTAATCTTTATAAATGAAATACGATCGGTTTTAGGCAGTCGTCTAGTGAGTGGACTAAAAGGTTACGCAAAATTTACGTTATCTTCCTCTAGGGTACTAGAATAAACTAAGTTCCAGTCGGGAGACAGTAACACCTAACACACGGACCAAATAGCTAATTACAACAGCAACATTCCAGTAATACACAGAAGGAATTGTATACAAATACTATTCAAGAGGACTAGGAGACTCATTGCAGCACTCCCACCTTAAGGAAAATTGAAGAAAGATATCTTATGGGCGTCTTCCAAAAGAATGGATATTCACGGAATTTCATCATAAGATATCTACCTTCCAGCCAACCCACCAAATCAAAGGCCTCCAAGGAAAGCACAAAGAAAATCACCCTAACATATATAAAGAACATCTCAGAAATCACTGCAAGACTCTTCAAACCTTTAGGAATTGATGTCTCAAAAACCAACAAAGTCACTGCACTCAGCTCTACGTCAGCCAAAATACTCAACAGCAAAAGAAGATAAAGCCAACATAATCTACAAAATAAATTGTAACAACTGCGAAAAACACTACATTGACCAAAGTGGACGTCCCCTTCGTCTTCGTATCCATGATCACAAACTAGCCATCAAAAGACACGGCATCTACTCCCTCATATCGCTGCATACAGATAACCACGGACATCAATTCGACTGGGAAAACACCGAGAATGCTAGAGAATTTTTAGAAGCTTGGCATTCCAGTGAATCCTCACTCAATAGACACATCGACATGGACAAAATTTACCGATCGAAAAAAGGAAATTTCACACACAAAGAGTCAAACTTCAGGTCAAGGAAAAAATTAGCATCAATACCAATACAAGTAGCCTAGAGGGTGTGAAAACACACAAAAACAACCAATCACTTTCAAGGTATGTTACCAGGAGAGATGACTAATAAACTCGTGGTGAAATTGAGAAGCTCACTTCATCAAATTGAACTATGCGCTGAAGATGTTGCCTAGTTGGGCAATGAAAGCTTCACAAATAAACCAGCCATCCAACTCAGAGAACACAACTACATCAAAAACACTTCCGTAAGCATATAGAGTTCTGTTGTTTGTTCTTCAACCTTTACTTATACTCATTCCACTTACTTATAGTATTATTTAACAGATTTAGGCATTGTCATAGAGTATAACCGCATTAATGTCTACAAAACTGTTCAATTATGGAATTCATAATGGAAATTTATTATTTCTGGACATTATGTGAAATCAGACAGCTGGCTTCATTAGCCATGACTCAATCTCATTTCCAATAGTACAGATGTACTAAATACTATCTGTAACTTCGTCCACGACAGTCTCATGGAATCCCTTCCCCCTATATTCAATACCCTGTCCAACAATGTGGGAAATCGAACCAATGCACTATTGAGAACTTCGTGTGCTTTTGGAAGTGTGTGGGCGGTTGTTACTTCCCGACTGCCTACACCATGGAAGTTGATTGATTCTTCGGGTGTCTGAAACAAAAAGAGGGTTAGTGTTGCGTGACCGCAGAGCCCAGGGGACAACTGCTTGAGGCCTGTCTGAACTGGCTTTTTGTTTTGATTCCGAACTAGATTGCTATCAGTTTCGGACCAGCGTAGGGTAATTCGGTTGACCTTTTCTAACTCCCTCTCTCCGGAGTGGAGAGACAGCATTGTTGGCATGCTGGCCATCTGATGGAAACACCTCACTGCTGTTACATCCCTGTTCCCCAGCAGTACGACTTCTGCCCACAGACCCCCAGCATAGTGTAAGAAAAATACTCACACTATGCCAGTAACTGCTTTTAGTGTAATCGCTATCCTAACAACCTTCCTGGCATGGTAGGACCTGCAGGAGCAATAGTTACAGCCAGTGCCGCTTGTTGGGTCATTGTGACGTGCAAGCCCGACCACCACGTTAAGGTAGCAGCTATCACTCCGTCCTCCTTGATGGATGTGAGTGAAACATGGTCATTGAAAGTGGAAGAAATGAAAAGGCCGGCTAGCTATCTTTGGTTAGAGGTGTCTGCCTTCTATCTCCCATGTGAAGTGGTATAATAGGGTGAGCAGTATTGAGGTTAGGCACCGGTCGATTGCTACGTAAGGAAGGGAAATCAGTAGACGAGGCTGTGAAGCTACATCGACTGAGATGGTTAGGAAATGTGTTACGCATGCCTAGTCATTGCCTTCTTCGACTGACGGGCAATGTTAGCTGAAATAGGATAGACCAGGTTGGAAAAGAATCACAGGTGGGCAAACCAAAACATGGCTTCATCAGTCAATGAAATACACAACAGTTAATTTAAGCCAGCTAGCCACATAGGAAGGTGTAGACTTCCTCACTGGTTGGGGTCACAATCGAACATTGTTAGACACTTAGTGAACAATCGGTGAACAGTCAGAATGATGCAATACATGAAATAATTTCATTACAAGACTGTAATCTAAAACACACTTCATATTTTTCAAATAATAAAGATTAAAAGAGTTTAGACAAAAAAAACAACTAATTACCATAGAATTAGATTCATCATTGAAAGTATTTTCTAAGAGGCTAGTATTCATATCTTCAATATGCATATCTCTTTCATGCATTAACTCCTGCCAAAAATCATAAGCCTCATCGAATTCTTCACATTTTTTAATAATACCACCCTCTATAGGTCTATTGTCTTCATCAAGTAGTAATCCATTTGTAGAATTTTTATCCATTTTTGATCTATTCACCACAGGGATTCCAAGACCAAGTAGACGATCGGCTTCAGCTTCATCTGAAGACTCATCATTGATTTCTTCATCATCATCATCATTATTATTATTTCTAGTAGACACAATTGTGTTGTTATTGTTTTCACTATGGGATGATTGGATCATAGTGTTTGATTGAAATGTTGATGAGTCACCACCAGCAGTAGAGGAATTAACAAAAGACTGTGATCGATTTTTTGTATCGACATCAACATCCTCATCATCATCGTCGTCGAGTGATATACACTCTGGTTCTTCTACAGGCAATTGAATCTCTGCAACACTTGCTTTACCATTCACATCAAAGGTTAAAGGATGAAGGTAGGCAAGTGGACCTAAAAGTTTACACCATGGTGAAGGAAGTAACGATGTTGAATGTTTTAAAATTGGAGTTAATTTATTGCTATGCCTTTTTCTATTCATCATATCATCGTGATCAGTTGATTTACTACTCATTGTTGACTCTTCTTGTTTAGAAGATTCGATAGGATTTACAGCAGGATTACAATTATTACTGGATACCTCCTCTTTGTCGTGTTTAGTTACTTCTGTGAATATCTCTTTTTCAGCAGTGAAAATATCCCGTTCTAAATCCAATGCCATATTAGCCAGTAATAGGCGATCTTCCAAAAAAGGTTCTAGTTTTTGCTATATATATATGACAGTGTAAAAAAGAACAGATATAATTTTGATGAATTACTATTGAAAAGCAATTTGACTAAAAAAAATTATGGATGAGAAATACAACAATAATGCATTAATAACACCTACGTTTTTGAGACGACAACAATTTACGTGTGAATAGGTCCCACTAATGGATAGCAAATCAATCTAGCTGTGTCTATTCCTAAGCGCACTATATAACTTGGTATTACAGTTTAGAAGTCGGTTAATAAGAAACTTTGAACAAGCATCTAATTGTGCATGTGTAACCACCTTAAGAAATCCAACTGTATCTGTCCTGAGACTAATTGCTGTACATAGTATATTCACGCAAAGGAATTTAGTAGTAGTAGTATTAACAAATCAATGCACTTACCTCTTCGACGTCAGGAACGAGTGATGTGGATTTCAACGTCCTAAGGAGAGACATAAGTTCTTTGAGAGAGAAAAAAATTGGCAGATATCCTTTGCTGATCATTATTAACAGCTACGAAACCTCGATCAAGCGGTTGCTTAACTAATTAACTAACTAACGATACTTTTGCATCTATTTTCATCTGTACCTTTAGATCAGGAAATGAATGTCAGAATGAACTGTACTTTTTACCGTGTACCTCATGTACAATAGAACTATATCAAACGAATTTGGTGGATGGTGACTAGCAGTGGAGTCCAGGGTGCGCATCTCATCCTTTCTGGGACTCATCAAGTGAGTGAATTGACGATACCCTTCGTTTCAAACACTAAAGCGCTATTCCACTGGATCCCTTGGGCCACCACCTCCTGTGCAACAGTCGATTTCGATTTTCCCGTTGATTGATTTGACCAAAATGTCGGCTTCTATAGTAGAGACGCTTTGACGATATCTGAGAATAAACATTTAGTAGTTTGGTAGATGGTAACGAACTTCCGAATAAGACGAAATGCGCATCGTGGATTCTACTGCTAGTCAACATCCTCCACCGAACTACTTCATCGTTGATTTTCAGCAGCGTCTGTACTAGGCGCTGACAAGTCAACAGAGGCCAACGAGAATGACACTAACCTAAAAAATTATAATGCAGAATAGTTTGATAACCTCAGCAGTTACAAGAATCAAAAGTCTAATAATTGGTCTTTATCTTAAAAGGCTAGTTGTGAACAGCCTATGAAACAAGTTAATTTTATTGAATGAATTCTAAATAGAAGGTACTTTTATGCATATATATAGAATATTACACATACCAGAGATTCTCTGAAAAGCAGTGAATTTACAGTTTCGATTGTCTCTTTCTTTTTTTCTAAAAGTAGATTAAAAGATTTCTCCAGTATTTTGTCGACTAAAATAGAAAAAAAGAGACCAGTAGCAAAATAATTCATAAGTTTTATAATAGAAAGGTTTTGAATAACGATTAAAAGAAAGTAAATATACATTAGAGGAGAGTAAAACACGTAGTTCAGAGAAGATGCTCTCTCTTTTCGGTGAATTCATTCTTCTTCTTCTTGATCGCATTCACATTTTCACAAAAGGGGGAAGTACTGTGGTGAGAGCTGTCTGCTAGCCAAAGTTGGTAGACAGTAATTGACGTCAATGTTTATGTCCCCAATATTGGTGGTGAGAAAATGAGAACAAAGGCTTTGCGTAGGCGGATACAGTTAGCATATAGATGATCTGACACAGCCACAAGAGATGCAAGGTTAACTTCTGTGAGAAACAACCAATCAAAAGACTGTATTTTTAGTTGATTTTCCTTAATAAACGACTGTGCCTGGCCCTTGTCCTCTGTTGTTATATTTAAGCATTAACCTTGCTCTCACCACAGTACCACCAAAAGTGATGAGTTGTTATAGCCATAAGGAAAATGTGATAATAAGGAAGCGTTCAAAGGAATATTAACAAACTCACCTGTTTCTGTCTGTGAAGTAAAGTCTATAGGTCATTTAGTGCATATCCCGTTCAAGAACACTATCCTACATGGTTGCAGGAAAGCAGTAGTAGTAGATCTATAAGGAGTGTGACAACACTGGTGGTCATTCTATCATAACAAACTCATGCTTCGAAGTAATCTACAAGCTGAAGGAACAACCTGTTAAACACACAATACGCTTTCGTCTCCACTGTATCACTGAAGCTCTAGCCATTCAGATACAGAAATGTGAGGTCTGCATACAGAAGAAAATTATTCAATCACTTCTACTATGATCGTCACAACCTTGTCGACTTCTACTAACTTGATTTTTATTTTAAAAGTCTTTATTACTGTTTGATTTGTTTCGAACTCTTACATAATCCCATATTTTCCTTTGTTTCTCTGTGTTCCTTGATTACGACTCATTCACTAAACTATTCATCTTATTGCGTAACTGTAATACCATTATTCAACTCTTCTTATGCACTGACTAATATTCGATAACTATGATTATGACAACTCGCCAGATTTTTTTACTGTCCTCTCTCAATACAAAAAAAGTTGTATATAAATGCGGGCCAAGTTAAACTTTAAGCACCACTACATACCACTGGAGTGCGACCGCACCAATGACCTTGAAACGCTCACTGAGCAAGTCAGTGAAATCTGGGAAATAATGTTGTCGTCATCAATAATATATGCTCATCAAAGTGTTATGCTAATAAATGGGATATCTGGCTATTTTCAGCTTACGTTTGGGAAAGATTAAGTTACGCTTTAAGCCAAGGACAAGTTAGGGTTAAGTTAACCTAATAAGGGCGACATTAGGTTTGGTTCGAGTTAGATTACAGTTAGTTTAGGGATATTTTCACATTAGGGTTAGGTTCAGGAAAGATTAAGGTTATTGTTAGGGTTAGAAGACCTAAATAATTACATGCATAGAATGTGGTTAAATTCCTCTGTTGATATAAGAATAGAACTTGTGCACTGTGGTAGGGTGTAATTCCATTGTGAGTAACATTTATTTTGATAAAGTCTCACAGTTTTATACAATAATATTTACTGATGACGTTTCGAGCACAATTTATTGTTTAGTAAATATTACTGTGTAACACTGAGACTTTATCAAAATAAAGTTCACCCACAATGGAATTATACTCTGTTGATACTCCAACGTAAAACTGAGAGCTATTTTTATCACATGTAAGAGGAAGGTATCCTCTGTAACACTTTTATACAGTTTTTATGCAATTTTCCAATACACAAAAGTGTCTCCTTCAAGTGATTGGTGCGTTCAAAGAAGTCATTTGCTGATTGGTAGTGGGTGGTGCTTAAAGTTTAACTTTGCCTAAATGCGATTGTACAGCTGAAGAGGGAAGGAATGAATTCACTGAACTACCCTGCTTTGTTCTTTTCATTAATGCCAGGATGGAACTTATTCATGAAGTAAAATACACCTGACAAAAAACTTGGAGGATCTGGACTTCGCCGATGATATATGTCTGATTTCCCACAAACTGGAAGATATGCAAGCGAAAAGCAACAAGTTGGCAGAAGAAGCATCAAAGATAGGACTTCAGGTGAACATAGAGAAAACAGAGGTAATGAAGATTCCTGGACAAGAACAACAACAACAGACAACGATCAGCATAAATGGGAGGAACCTGAAAGAAACAACCTCTTTTACCTACCTACCTGGGAAGCATCGTCTCAACTACAGGCGGAACTGACGAGGATATCAAAGCAAGAATCGGAAAAGCAAGATAAGCTTTCACTACTCTCAAGTCTGTGTGGAGGTCAACAGCACTCAGCATCAAAAATAACATCCGGATTTTCAACTCCAATGTGAAGTCAGTGCTACTCGCTACACGGATCAGAGACTTGCACTGCGCGTCATAAAGAGCATCTCAAACAAACTACAGACCTTCATTAACAGTTGTCTTCGCTCAATACTCAAGATCAGATGGCCGGTCAGAAAAGATCAGCAACAGAGATCTCTGGGAGCGAACCAACACAGCAGGAACCAATTGTGAAACAAATAGGCAGGAAGAAATGGAGATGGATTGGCCATACTCTGAGGAAACCATCAAGTGACATCACTAGACAAGCCATTGCTCGAGTGGAACCCGAAAGGGAAGCGGCGAGTTGGTCGTCAGTGGAGGGTGACTTGGAGGAGGTCATGTGAAGAGGAGATGAAAACGTGTGGACAGACTTGGAGCCAGGTAAAGACTCTAGCAGAGAACCGAACGCAATGGAGACGCACGGCTGAAGCCCTATGTTCCTCTAGGAATTAAAGGAAACAATAATAATATAATAATAATAACTTGACTTTTAGTTTTTGAATACATCTCTTAATCGAGTAGACGACTATCATATACATGTGTGTGAGAGAATGTTGCAAATGCCAGAATCTGATGAATGATTACCCAAATCGATTATATTTTGGTATCACAAAATATCTTACTAACAATGATAAAATACTAGAAAATTATATTGATACCGCATAAATCATACACGTCAAGGTTGAAATTTGCAGAAAAAATAACCAAGTCTAGGAGCTAAAGTTCATACACACCACAATACTAATAGTAGAGAAATGGAATCGAATGAAACTACACTCAACAGGACGTTTTATACATCCTACACATATTATTGAACTGTGATTTTTATTGAGAAAAATATAATTTATTTCTCGAGTTTGATCACAGGTTGATATCAGTTAGAGAACCATTGAAAACCTGCTACAGAGAATACTGGACAGCTGTTTCATCCTAGTTTGGAACCCATCAGCAGTACGCACCCACCGCCAGAATTCGAACCCAGGACCTTCCAGTGACAAGACAAGCTCCTATACCAATTCAATGGCCAGCCCTATCAATTCTAACTTCTACCAATTGGTGATTTCAGCGCGGCCACTAACCAATGTCATCGGTGGGAATTCCATCCTCACTCCCGACTAGATGGACCTCACGACTTCTCACTAGAACTCCAGGAAACTCCGTCCTGTAGTAAGTCAACCAGTGGGTGTGTACCGCCGATGATTTTCAAACTAGGATGAAACAGCTGTCCAGTACTCCCTGTGACAGGTTTTCAATGGTTCTCTTCTAACTGATATCAATCCATGGGCAAACTTGAAAAACAAATCAACTCTTGAAAAATATATTTATTGATTGATTTTTTGAAGTAAGAAAATTCACTA